GTCTAGCTCACAGGAGAAGCTGCGGGCAAAAAATAGAATGTGTTACTTTAGTCTAAACCTGCTCATATCTACAAAAGTGTTGTTACAATATTGTGATGAATATTCTTTGAATTTAAATATTAATTTAGATTTACATAAACTGAACTTAAAAAAGTAAAGAGAGATAAGCTAAGAGAGAAACAAACTGACATATTTTACCTAAGGTCGATGCAATTGTGGACTGGTTTTATGTTTCCTACACATGCTTTATCAAGGCAAATTGATTTCATGATGAATATATAACCAGACTTTAGAGCCCATTCGTGTTCTCTCAATTTCAACTTCAAAGCCAGTCTGATATTGTCAACCCGTGGTATCCTTGAACCACTTTGGCATTTAATGCAGAAGTATCAAGAGTGGAGAGACAAACCCAGGCTGTAAAACCAAATAATGCATTACACTCAGCAAGCAACTTTTGAATAAGGAGAGATCAGTTGAAAATATTACCTTGATGAGAGGTCCTTCCTCCTATCGGGTACCGCAAAGGTACGAGAATTTTATGAAACGTGATCCACGACCTCTGACCAGCACAACATCGAAGATCATCTAACTATCCGATCACACTGATTGAAATCAAACAAACAATATAACATGAACAGTTGAAAATCAAACTATAAATAAAACACAGACATAATAATTTCAAGAATGCAAAGAAAAATGAAAACCTGAAAAGATTTATGTAATAGTTGTGTTCATAAAACAATTACAAAAGCACATCTACCTGTCAGTCTCCTGAATTCAAATGAAATAAAGATGAATAGGAATAATTCCAGTTATATCAGAAGAACAGCTCTTCACCAACAGAATCAGGATAAAGCAGAAAGAGCAACCAGCAGCAAGCTATTAATTAAAAGAAGAGTAAGATCACTATCTGAGGCGTTACAAAAATGGGCATCAATACATTGAATTGAACATGTTCAACTTACCCCATTCACAGTGCTCAGAACCACATGAAACTAATTTTATGACATAATTAAACTGCAGATCCAATAATTCTAAATGATGTTACACAAGCAGTCAAATTTTTCATAAAGTTCTGAAACAAAATGGGCAAGAAATTGAAGTTTTAAAGAAGAAGTTTTAAAATGTCACGTTTTAATTATAACGGTAGAGCTTATATGAAATTTTAGATTAGATTCAGGTTTAAAAATACCTGTTTATCAAAGGACCTGAGGAAAAAAGGAGCCAAGGTAGGTTTCATCCATCTTCACAAAACTTCCAAACAAAGCAGAGAAGGCCGTGGTAAAGGATAGCTTGGCACCACCACAATAATGCAAACATTATGGTACTATGGACTACACCAATCTAATTCAGAATTTTCAAAAGTCGTTCACCTAATCCAAGGTCGAAACTTGACTGTCTGGCTCACCTGAGCAAAGCTGTGGAGAAAATAGAATGTACA